TACCAACTCCGGAAAAGGTTCTTTCTAATTTGAATTTCACCAGCTGTAAAAACCTAAGGCTGAGGAGCCATAATGCTTCCTGAAATGGATTTGACATCTGATTGTTACTCAAACTCAAACTCCTGTTAATTAAACCAGTCTATTATTTGAGAGTACAAAGTTGATCCCCTTCACTAAATATGGCATAGGTTACACCGTTCGTGAACATATGAAGCCTGAGTACATAAATTTTTCTTGACTATTCGCAATTCCTGTGCTAGTTTTTCGTGTTGATAGGTGCTTCTATGAAAGACAAAATCACGAGAAATCAGGATTGTTCAAGGTGTTTGGTGGTTTGAATTGATCTCGAAAAGACTCGCGAAACTTTTGAAAAAATTGGTCGATTTAAACATGCATTGTCATAACCCGAGAGACCACCATTATAAGTAACACAAGTGCCAGCAGTCATAAATTTATGCATTTGAAGATTTTTAGTTCTACACTGGTGCTATTTCTACTACTTGGATAGCTTGTTGATCTTTATGTAACTTGAATTCAGAATTTTTTTCCCCAAATGTCAATATTTATTATATACTGGATTCAGTGTTTATTCTTGGTTTCTTGTGCATATTGGTGAGCCAGGACACTGGATTTCAGTATATATGGAACTGCAAAAAGTACTTGAACAAGGTAAGCTATAGAAAGCTGATGTCTGCTCAAAACTTTTATTTGCACTTACGAGACAATATTGTTATACTTAATTTACTTTAATCACTAATGATATTTTTCTTTTAGGCATCGCGCATAATAATTGCTACTGATGCCGATGTGTCTGGGGATGCTTTAGCTGAAGAACTAGCACGGCGACTAGGAAGAGAAAGGTCAAAGTATAGTGTCTTATATCATTTATTTCATAAAAAGCTCTTGAATACGATGAATTGCCAACTGTGTCAATCTGTTCGGAAGTCAAAGTTGAACTCAACGTTTTTTTATTCTCCTTTAACAAATGGTTAAGGTCAAAGAGTGCATATATGATTTCCTAGTCCGTTGCTCCATAAGTTTACGTGCTAGAAGAAATTCATAATATCCATAAAACTTTCAAATGCCATGAAGAAGTTATTAACTGATAATTTTGGATGCTAGGGATGTTCAGCTTTCACCCTTTTAGCAAATCAAATAGTGTGCTTGCTCTGTGTCTTAGATTTTAGACCTTTATATCCAATTTCTTGCTTAGTGATAGAGGCTTAAGATGAAATGTACTACTGTAGTTTTCTGTCATCCTCTAAATTGTACGTTATATGTTTGCAATTAGATGCTGGAGAGTACACTGGCCAAAGAAAGATGAAATCAACTGCTTCAAAGATGCAAATGAGGTTTAATACATTTTCTCCTTTTCTGCTTGAACTTCTTTGAGGCTTTTAATTTTCATCCGTATCCGTCATTATTCAGAACCTGTTTCAGTATGTAGAAGCAAATGTAGCAATAACTTCTAGGCTCTATGTTTTGACATGAAAGAAAGACTTTCTGATCAAGAAAACTATTAATAGGAGCTTTTAGAATCGTAATTAATAGTAGTTTGAAATTATGAAGAACTGGATAATTTTAAAAGGTAAGCACATTCTAGATTAAGATACTGAAAATTTACTTTAGAAAGTAAGAAGCTAGAGAAGGTTCTAACTTCTAAGAAGTCAACAACTATAGCATACTTATTGTGTCAAGTTTTTTCTGTTTAAAATAATGTTGAAGCTTCTTGCTACAGGTTCTCATGAATCTAGGACCAAATGCTCTGAGAGAAACAATCTACAGCATGCAATTGCATCACATGTACCTTTTCAATGAAACCATCCAAGGTGTATAGAAGAATGCTTATGTTGCAGATGGTAATCAATGATGGATGTTAGTAGTATTCTAGAAAATTTACACTGCATCATCATTTTCAAAGATGCAGGATGTAGACAATTTCTCCTGCACCAGGTTTCATCTTCCAGATGCAAGAACTTCCATTACAGGGTTGAACTCCAATTGTTTAAGAAATATATAGAATGGCTCTAACAAAAACAGATGGGGATAAAATGTTGCATGTGAAGAGTGTTTTCATGGGTGTGCATCGGTTTGCATGTACCCATTCTGTTGTTCATCCATATTGCAAATGCAGAGTAAATTTAGTGCTCTTTAACATCTTGCTGGGCTACAATTACTTTGTGTTCAAAGTTGCTAACTCTGATTTTACCTATTCATATATTTAGCATCAAAGTTCGAAACATGACAGGACTAGATTAACTAAGTTCAATGTAATGAGACATGAAGGACCTGACGAGATGCTGTCTTTTTTTTGATAGAAACTGCTTTGAAACAATTGATGTTATACATAATTAAAATCTTTTGATCGTTCTAAATGGACATTGGTTTCGCAAATGTCAACGACAAGAAATACTATAAACTTTTCAACAAGAAATGCAGTAACAAGAGAGATAAATGTTTGTTCGTTTGAGGGCTTTCTTGCACCTTTTTTGGGGCCTTCGTGCAATGTACTAAATGAGAATATAAAACATTGGTTGTAGTTTGGAAAGATAAATGCAAGAGTAAATTATCCATAGCGCCTTTGATTGATTCCAGTTTGGCCTTTCGTGCAAAGTACTAAATGAGAATATAAAACATTGGTTGTAGTTTGGAGAGATAAAATGCAAGAGTAAATTATCTATAGCAACTATGGCATAACTACTTTTTATTTTATTCAAAAGACATCTCATCCTTCTTTCTTATATGTAGAAAAAAAATTGTGCCTCTATTAACATGAATTCAAATTCGTCCATAGTCAAAACTTTACATGTAAATTGTATTTTTTTTTTTCCATTAAGAAAGAGATTTTTTTTTTTTTTTTTTGTTTGGGTTGCTAGATGGGAGAGGTGATTGATCGTACTTTTGCTCTCTTTTTTTGGCTTCATGAACGCGGTAAAAATTAAAAGAAAAAAAAAAGAAAACGTCATAAAATTTGGTAAGTTTTTCCATGAATGACTAATTTTAATTTAGAGCAGACATAATGTACATATAAGTCCCTAGTTCGAATCCATTTTTCCTTTTCTTATTTTTTAAATTCCAACTCTCCTTTTCTCAAAGAAATTAATCTAGAACGCACATGAGAGATCCTAATTAGAACTTGTACCATTTTTATATTTTTATAAAAAAAAATAAAGGTTTCTATGAAATTGTAAATGGCTTAGGGTTGACCACTGCAACTAGAGGTGGCAAATCAATCTATTTAACTAAATTTACCCATACCCGTCCATGAATAGATGGGTATGGGTATCTTAAGTTTTTGTATATAGGTATAAATGGGTTATTCAATAATACCCATTTATTAAATGGATATTATTGGGTAACCCATCAAACCCAATTAACTCATTTAGAATTCTCTTCCCCCCCAAGTCTCTTCTTTTCCCCCACCTTTTTTTTTCGAATTTTTCATTATGTCATGATGTTAACTACTTTTGTTTTTTTTTATTATTATTATTATTATTTGTTGGTTTTATCTTATTATTTTATTTTCTCTTAGTTTGTTAACTTACTCATTTTTTAGCATTACCAATTTATGATAAATTTTAGCCTATTTTCTTATCTTTATAAAATGAAATTTTAAATTTATATATGAAAAAAATGTTAGGGGTTCAAATTTTTGGATTAAGTTTTTATATTAATTTTTATAGTACTTAGTTCAAACTTTTATATTCTTATTATTCAATTATTAAATAATAGGTAATTTTGTGACAGAGTATAAATGAAAAAAAATTGGTAATTAAGTTTATTGAACATTATAAGTAAATATTTAAAACTAATGATGGGTACAGAGAGTAGTATAAATTGATAACTTAGTTTGCAAAAATGAATTTAAATGAGTTTACAAAAAGTTAAAATAAATGGGTTATAAATGGGTAATTGGGTTACCCAATTCATTTTTTGACTTACCCATTTATACCCATCTAATTAAATGGGTATAAATGAGTTGACTCACTTATACTCATTATTCATTTTACCCAACCCAAACCCGCCCAAATCACCCATTTTGACACCTCTGACTGCAACCAACCCTTACTTCGTTATTCTTAGAGCATATGCAACGGAGTATCATGGGAGATATAATACCTCTCATGACACGGGTCCATTACACGGCCACCCATTTTGACCGCGTAATGTCTATTACACGCACCATTCTGATGATGCGTGTAATGGTGAGCCAGTGTCAGCAACGGACAAATTTTTTTGAAGTTACAACAGACAAAATTTGTGCCAGCAAGTTAAAATTAGCAACGTTCATTTTTTTTCCAACGGTTATGTTTTTAGCTTTTTATATAAACACAGAACACACTCCTTTTTTTTCATATCTTACCATCCTACTTTATTATTTCTCTTACTCTCTCACTCATTTTCCTCAACCTCTTTGCACAATTTTTTAAAATTTCAATATTTTTGTGATTATAGATGAGAATTTTAGTAGTCTTACAAATATGTTATATGATTCAAATATAGAAAATTCATCCTTCTCACAAAATCAAAATCACCAAAATTTTCCAAATTACCCAAATTTCTCATTTTCTGTATTCCTACAAATGTGCAAAATTATGCATATCTCCTAAATTTACCCACTTCCAACCATCCATCAAATTTTCAAAAATCCACCAAATTTTTCAAATTGAATTCTCATGTATCATCCACCTATTTATTTTTTTTAATGAAAGTTAATAATTTATTTTTTAAAAATAACAAAATTATTTTTAAAAAAACTACTTTATTTTTTTATGGGATATGAGTTGTGCATTATTAAAATAAATATTTGATTTAATTATAGACTCATGCTATTACACTTTATAGAGTGTAATTCATTATGAGTGAACGTATAATAAAAAAGAAAAAAATAAAATGCTAACGTGTCACGTGGATTACATTCTAGATGCCTTTAACAAGAACTAATCACCATCTTTACTGTCGGGATGACATGATTGCTCCTTGACAGCGATGAAGCCATCGTCGTCAGGCTTTTCTTTTTCCTCCTGCTCCTCCTTATGGCCTAAAGAATCTTCCGCTCCGCTGCCAAAGGTAACTTCACACCATCTCTAGATGTCTATCACAATCTAAAATATTGCTTCTACTACTACAAGTTATTATGCCAATAAATCCTAATGTAAAAACATCATGACCAATTTACATTTTTTTAATTTGGTAATTATTTTTGTATTGTTATTACTATTTGGATTACTGTTGCTGCTTTGGTTTTGTGAAGTTGTTGATCTTGCAGCTTAAATTAGAAGTAAGCATAGGTGCCATGCATAGCTTTCCCATGCAGAAATTGGCTACACTTATTTGTGATTTGAGTTTGTAAATTGGTCACGGTTTCTTGAATTTTTTTTTTGGCCCATGAAATTCAATCCATGATGAGGGGTTGTTTGGTGATTCAAGAAACTCAATTTCGCAAGTCTTGGATCATAAAATTTGATTTGAAAATGGTGATTAGCTTTTTATTTTAACTTGAATCTTGTACTTTTTTCTCTCAATTTCTTGAATACTGTCTGTACTCTAGACTCTGTCAAAACAAACCTTTTGATCTTTAGACCTTTTCTTTTGATCAGTGGTGAATGTGCTCACACTTCTTTTAGTCAATCTGCAGGAATTTGTGTAGAAAAATAAAGTGGAGTTTAGTTGAACTTTTCTTGGGGAATAGGATGAAAGTGGAGATATATAGCTGTCCTTTTTGAGTTAATAGCTAAAGAATTAATGCTTTGTCACCATTTTACTATTTATTAGCTGTCTTGAGAATACTTGTTAATTTTACCAGGAGGCCAAAAGGAAGACAGAGGAAAAAATTATTAATTCAGCCATGTTCAATTGAAAAGCTTGCACCTTGTTCTAGAGAAAATCCTGTTTCAAAAATGGAAACTGTTTTCGAAGCGACTCCTGAGGAGAGGAAAGAAAACACCATATCTTTGATGCATGAGGAGTTCAGGAATGTCAGTGAAACTTCTACTGATAAACCTGGGATTCCATTGGCTCCTTCCATCAAGAATTCCAAACCTGGAGTCATTTTTGTCCTTGAAAAGGCTTCGCTGGTGCCAGCTTATGTTTGGACGGTACATACATCAAGATAACACCTGTTAGTAATACCTTTCTTGTTTAATTTACATAAATCTGAAGTTTAATAACTTCTCAAGCTTAGGGCAAAAAGTTATTGCTTTTATTTGATTGCTCTAGTTGATGTTTGAGTTGTTGACATTCATGTTGTCTGTTTCGGTTTCCCTTCATTCAGACATACGAGATACTGAATCCAGACAAGCATGCTGATTTTATGCGCAAGAAAAACATGAATCCTTATAATTATAGACCTGACATTATCCATGAGGTATGTAGCTTTACAATTAACATTAAGGCCATCCATTCTATGTTCTGTAGAGAGTTATTACAAACTTACAATTGGATTTGGAATTTTACAGATGATTTCCTGAAGTATTTATCTTCAAGTATTTCCTGAAGTTTCTGCCTTATATATCCACGTCTTGGTCTTCATTACCTTCGGGAATTCCATGAATTAAATATACCTGTTCCATCTGCCCTTGTGTAACTGTCAAGCATGTTGTATTTGACAGCATTGGAAAAACTATTTTAGTAAAATCTAAGCAATCTTGTCTTGAGTCTTCTAATTTATGCCTCTTCTTCTAATTCATACTTATTTTGATAATTCTATTTTTATCTATAGGTTCTTGTTGATATATTGGGTAGCCGGCTTAATATGGCAGGTATGGTTAAAGCAGTATATGTGAATTGAACCACATACAAACATACCACCAACACCGGGGAAGTTTTATTCTCTAATGTGAAAGTCTTCTTTCTTCGATCAGTTTGATTCTATTAGTCTCCATCCACATTAGATAAGCATTCACCCTTGTGTGTTGGCACCTTCACCGTTCACGTACTACAGCCCAGTTGTTGCAGAAGTTTAGTATCAAAGCAAGAGGTAAAGGTGAAAAACTAATGAGATTGATTGAGAATCCTTTGGACAAGCATTTGCCACTGAACTCCCTTAAAATAGGTAAGCTATTAAATTATTCAACTGTTTCTGAAGTCTCTATCTTTTCTTGTCTTTCCTTCATCAAGAGCAATTTTTTCTTCAGGGCTTTCCTTCAGCTCATCCAAGGCTGTCAATTTGAGGGATTATGTTACTACCATCAGCAACGATTGTACTCTAGTATTCATAGTTTGGTCACTCTCCACAGATTAATTAAGCGATCTTTCCTTTATGTTTAGCCTCATCTTTTCAGTAAATGAGACCTTGATTATTGAATTATCCCATCAGATTGACGCCATGGCTCATGGGAAGATCGATACTGAACATACTGATGATCTCATATCAGGTTTTCACTTCTTCCATTATTTAGATCGCGAAAAATTTGTAGCCGAATACTGCCTTTTTATTGAATACATTCACCTATTTCTGTCTATTTTCATATGAAGGATGATCATCTATTCTTTTGTTTTAGTTTGTCCTTAAGTTTCTATCCTGAGAACTGTTTTGTTTGCAGTTTCCTCACTTCCATTAAGTGCTCGTGTTTGTGTGAGACATGTATGCTGCGAATTGGAGAGGCAATGGGAAATTCTATGATTCGAGGTGTAATTATTACCAATGTACAGCTTGCTCCAAGAATTATTCAGCGTAGTGCTGCTTATCAAAAACCCACGACTCTAACTTGTCCAAATTAACATGAATATTAGTTTTCACCTTTCACGTTGTAAAGCTAAGAATTAGTCTTCAACTATCATTCTGTAAAAGTTCTGAGGTTCATCCAGAATATCGATCTTGTTGATTGAGCATTCTGATCTGCACTTTTTTTTTTTTTTGGCAGTTGTCGTCTATTCTGGGAACTCACTATTCAGTAGCCGCAACAATTAAGTTTATCCTCAAAAGATTGAGCTTATGTAGTATTCACTTGATTCAGCTTAGTTCTGTCTCTGCTATCGGAGAGGGTGCCTTACCTGACCTGTGTGGTGTCAATCCTTTGGTATTTCTAGCTAAATTCTGCATTGCCCTGAAAATTTCAAAAAAACCTGCCTAAGCAAGAGAAACCATAATGTATAATTCTTTTGCTAGTATGTGTTTCGTATGTTTAATTGCTTACTCTACTTGGTGGTGATGGGACACTAAAATTACTGCAATGATCGAATTGCGCAACAAACAATGACAGAGCCAAGGAGGGCTGATGGGGCCATGCCCCCGTAAGATTTGAAAATTTTAATTCATAACATGTTATGTAAATATATGTGTAAAACGAAGTTGATCCCCTAACTATTTACAATTTTAGTTTATATTATAAGACTTTATATATATATGAATTAATCACTTTTGAATTAATTTTTTTCAAAAAAAAGTTATTTTTTTCATACCTTTATAATTAAATCTAATATTTGATGTTTTTAGATGTCATATATTTAAATAGATGAAAATTATTTTAAACGTAATATATTAAAATAATTTTATAAGGAAAAATTTTGGCCTCCCAAGAAAAAAATCCTAACTCCGTCACCGGCAACAAATCTTGGAAATTCTCCTTTTGCTTGCCTTAAAAGTGCCTAAGAAACAAGCTTTGTACATAAAAAAACAACCATTTGGCATGTGAGAACTGAGAACGCTCAACATATTTGTAAAGTTGTCATTCAATAATTCATTTTTTTTCATCAAGTGATTCGCTATTTCCAAATAGCTTGAATTTTCTTGTGCGATAATGATTATGATTAGTACTTAAGATTTAAAATTTTAAATACTTGGTTCAAATTACAACTAATTGTTGATAAATGGGCTTTTGATATTGGAAGTTTGGAACAAATAATGCTTTCGTCTGAAAAAACCAAGAAAGATTTGAATCTACATTATAATTCAAGGTCTCTAGGGAATCAAACGCAGTGCAATAATGAGCCATAGAAAATGATAAAATTAGATTGCCCATTGCAACTGGGCGTTTGGTCTAGTGGTATGATTCTCGCTTTGGGTGCGAGAGGTCCCGAGTTCGATTCTCGGAACGCCCCAATCATTTTTCCTCCTGTAATCTATGGGCAGTTTTCAATTTTCATTAGTGTCGCCTGACAGAAAAAATGAAGTAAAGCAAAGTATTGCATCCGGGCGTTTGGTCTAGTGGTATGATTCTCGCTTTGGGTGCGAGAGGTCCCGAGTTCGATTCTCGGAACGCCCCAGTCGCTTTTTCTACTGTAACCAATTGGCAGTTTTCATTATTGTCTCCTGACAAAGCAAATGAAGTAAAAATTGATGTTTAAATTCGATTTCGTACTTCTTCTTTTGGAAGGTGGAAATAATAATGGATCAAGTATTAATCTTTGAGTTTGATATTTACTCTTTGATTCACAGATCTTTTTTTTTTCCATCTATTTTGCTTTTCTATTTTTTGCTATATATTGTGGAAAAAGACTATGCTGAATGACTTATCAATATCTCATCATATGGTCTCCATAATTATTATTTTATTCTTTCCTCATATATTGATTTCTTAATAGTTAATTTTCCCATTCTATGGCAACAATATGAAATCACGCCTTAGCTTTTTCTTTTTTTTTTTTTGGAGGAACTGCAGGCTGGAGCCAATAATGCTTCATTAATACCTTGCGTATTGAGTACATGAGATTAGACTTCATCTATCTCAGAAAAGAAAATAATTTGGATAAAAAGAGAGGGATAGAGAGATGGACGATGAACTATTGGTAGAGTTTTTAACGAATCGACCTGTTTGCAAACCCATTTGTGTTCAACTCGTTCGAGTTCAAAAAAATTCGATTGTTTAATAAATTAATCGAACTCGAATACAATTTTCGTCTCGTTTAATAATCGAGTCGAATACGAACCTATTCACAAACTATTTTAAATAGTTCATGAACGCATATATAAATATAAATATAAATACATTTAATATTATTACATATATATATATTATATTTTACTAAAAAAGTAATTATACATAAATTAGCATTATTTATATTTTAAAAATTAATAAATACAATTAAATTTATTCTAAATAATGTATTATTTATTAAAAATATAATTACATCGTCTTCAAAATCAAGTTGGAGCTTGAATTCAACTTGTATAGTTTAATGCGCCAAGTTCAAGTTCAAACTTGAATATTTATACAAATAAACTAATCGAATTTGAATAATATTTGTAATTCATTAATATTCGAGTCGAATTCAAACCTTGTTCGTATAATATATGAACAGAGCATAAACACCAAATATTCGACTGAATTCAATTCGTTAAAAACTCTAAATATTAGTGGTGAAGATGGATAATAGCTAGCAGTTTAGGGGATAGATACTTAAGAGTCACTTAGTAAAATACTCTTTTAGCTTATAAAAACCTATATTTGAACTCTCAAAGAGTAGTATCACCAAAAAAAAGAAAAAGAAAAAAAGAACTATTAGACACTAGATTATATACGTACATATACACACACATACATACATATACATATACATAGACATAGATACATACATATATATATACACATATACGTGTGTGTATATATATGTATGTATGTATATATGTATGTATTGGCCATATCAAGATTTTGTTTATACTAGTTGGTTAGATGTGACCAGTAATCTTTCTTTCAAGTTAAAATTTAATTTTTTGTATAAGTGACATGCATTAGAACTCTTTTTTTTTTTTTTTAGTGTAAGCGGGAGGACTCGAACCCGAGACCTCTTGCTTACACTCCCTCCCCCCGTACCACGTAACTCAACCCAACCCTCCCCCCATGCATTAGAACTCATTTCTATAGAAAAATCTTTATGAAAATGATATGAACATACCTACCTTTACCTTCCATATATCACGGTATTAAAAAAAATTAGATATAAAAGAAATCCTAAATAATCCCCAATGAAACCACATTTACATAGATATACAAGAAATCCTAAATAATCTCCAATGAAACCACTTTTACATATCTTCACACGAACATCCGGATTAGGCATGTCAATGGGTAGGGTCTGGGTTGGATCTCTTTGATCCAGATCCCAACCCATTTAATTTAGTTAGACCCAAACTCAGACCCAGACCCCTTTGAGTCTAAAAAAGTAAGTCCATACCCAAACTCTTATGGATCTGGGTATCCAATGGGTATCCATAGGTATTTTCTGAATATACTAAAATAAAAATGTATTTAAAATATATAGAGTTCATAAATAATATAAATACCATCCAATTTTTGTTTTCAAATAATAAAATTAACGTTCAACAAGTTGAATGCAATATTATGAACTCAGAAAAAGAATTATTATTGACTACTTCTATATATTTTCAAAGATTCAACTGCATCCGTATCCAATATTTCATTTGTTTGCCTTTACCTTTTCTCCTTTTCTTGAAAAAGTTTGTACCAATTACAATGACAACTAAGATTAGTTTTTAAAAAAGAAAACAACCATAACATATATAAATATTTAGTCTTATTAAAGAAATGTAATTTTGTACCTTTTTTCTTATTTAAACCTCAATGTTGGTAAATGTCTCGCAATCCAGCACTAAAATAGTGAATGAGATAAAAGTCATTTGACTAAGGACTAATGGCAAATAAATAATAGAATAAGAAATTTATAAACACTTACTCATTTTTTTTTATTCAATTCAATCATCAGTAATCACTAATATTTCAACAATATCTAGAAACAATTTGGCACGAGTTTCATCAATCATCTAACCACCAACACTAAATGCAGAATTCTGATGCCATAATATCTTACTATGTTCAATCCAATAGCCATACAATATTATATTATTTTATAAATTTACTAATATATATTATTTAATTAAATATATATGGGTCTGAGTAAGGTCTTGTATGGATCTAGATTTGGATATGGATTCTAGAAAATCAGACTCTACCCAAACTCACGACTCTCTCATAGGGTCTGGGTCTGGGTAAGGTCTGGATTTGAGAAATTAAATCCAAACCCTACCCAAATATATTGGGTCTGGGTATAGATGGCAAATCAACTCATTTAATTAAATTTACCCATACCCACACCATGAATAGATGGATATGAGTATCTTAAATTTTTGCATATGAGTATAAATGGATTATCCAATTATACCCATTTATTAAATGGGTATAATTGGGTAACCCATCCAACCAAATTAACCTATTTAAAATTGTCTTTCCCCAAGTATTCTCTGTTCCCCCACCCATTTTTTTTTTCAGATTTTTCGTTTTATCATTATGTTAACTACTTTTATTTCATTATTATTATTATTTGTTGGTTTTATCTTATCATTTTATTTTCTCTTTGTTTGTTAACTTGCTCATTTTTCAGCATTACCAATTTATGATAAGTTTTAACCTCTTTTCCTATCTTTCCAAAATGAAATTTTAAATTTATACATGAAAAAAATGTTAGGGGTTCAAAATTTTTGCATTAAGTTTTTATGTTAACTTTTATAGTACTTAGTTCAATTTTTTATATTCTTATTATTCAATTATTAAATAGCATGTAATTTTGTGACATAAAGTATAGATAGGAAAAAAATTGATAATTCGGCTTATTGAACATTATAAGTAAATATTTAAAACTAATTATAGGTGCAAAGGACGGTATAAATTGATAATTTAGTTTACAAAAATGAATTTAAATGAGTATACAAAAGTTAAAATAAATGGATTATAAATGGGTAATTGGGTTATCCAATTCATTTTTTGACTTACCCATTTATACCCATTACCCATTTTACCCATCTAATTAAATGGATATAAATGGGTTGATTGACTTATACCCATTACCCATTTTACCCAACCCAAACCCGCCCAAGTCACCTATTTTGACACCTCTAGGTTTGTGTAAGACCCGACCCATTGACATGCCTAATCCGGATGATTGGAAATATAATAACTCAAGGATAGAAGCGAAAAATAAGTGCAACGACATGAAACTTAACTCTTTTTTTTGTGGAAGAAGTTGATTTTAACTCAAAGATACATTCATTCTCCCAAACTAATGACTAATTAGTCAATTTTTTTAAAATTTTTTTATTTCTGAATACTCGATATTGCCTCCGAATATTTATTTTCTACTATTAAAATTCATGTGAAATGCCCCAAAATTGAAAATTTTGTAATTGGGCCAAGAACATGGCTTTCAGTATCAGAACAAGTCTTTGGCGGGCCTATAAATCAATTCAAACGGGCCTGCCTTGCGCCTCTTATTGGCTCGGAGAAACAGAGTAAAATAGCTCCCATTCACCTCCTGTTGAAGAAGAAGAAGAAACAAACTGAAGAGCGCCAGTGAACTGGAGCTCAGGATTGCTGTTTAAGTACGCAATACTGAAAAGGGGTACCCTATCTTTTTGTTTCTTAACGTGTTTGCAAGTTTTTCTTGGTGCAATTTTACCTTTTGGAACAACTTTTTCCGTCCACAATCACTCTTTAATCATGTATATCTTGGCTGATAAATTAGCTTAAGAAATTTCACGAACTGGTTATGAAAACATGAAGCTTAGAAAATGCGTGAATCGACTGATGGATTTTAATTTAATTCGTTAACTGAATCTTTAGAAAATGTGGATGCAATGTGAATGTCTATTAAGTGTTCGACAAAATGTCTGTTCAGTTAAAGGGGATGAGTTTTGATTACTCAATGGCTGTCCTTTTTGCTGGTTAACAGTGGCTTATGATATAATGCTGAAGCAAGTGTGTCATAGACTGAGTATACATGGGGCTGACAAAATCAGGCCTTTATTATGTTTACAAAGAGCTCATTTCCACAGTGGGCAGGTAAGCATTTGATCGTCTCTTGTAGTTTTTTTCTCTCTATTTTTAATTTTCTGTTCTTTTGCATATCTGAATTTGTTTGCCTAATGTACGTTCGTCTTCTGTGAGAATCTTTGTGTCCTTTGATATATTACAGAGTGTATATTAATCTCTTTTGGTTTCATGAAGTTAAGGGAACCAATTTCATTGAGAAAAGGACAATTGCATGCGTTTTTTTGTGTATTGTTAAGTTCATTCTTTGCCCCTGTACTCTTTACTTGCTGCCTGGTGGATCATTCAAGTGTTTCTTTGTCATGTTAGGCTAAGAAGGAGATATTTATTTATCTACAGAACTAGGCTTCTGTTGGCTTTTTAATCTGGATTTCATCTAACTTCTTTTAGAGTCATTCCAATCGATTACTGAGTTCTATTTACTTCACAAGTTTAAAAATTTGACTTCTATATGTTTTCCTAAAAGAAATCCACTTTGTTAAAGTAATGAGTCCTTAGAATTTGCTGCCGACTATAGCCAATACATTGGCTTCATGCTTTCCCATTGAATTGCCCAACAGAAGGGCCGTCCACCCCCACCACCTGGGCAGGTCATCTGTCCTTCCATGAAACAGAAAAAGGGAATTTGCAGTATCTAGTTATTATGTTATCTGGAATTGGTATTAGGAGTAAAATGAAATAAAAGTAATCCCTGTTAGAACATTATGTATTGCATCTTATGTTTTTCAAGGTATGAGGGATATGAGAATGGAAGGTAGAGAAACTTTGAATTCTTCACTTTGATTTGCTAATTGAAGAGGTTTATTTCCAAGCAGATTTGAGACTAAGGGGGAGACTGCTTGGGAGGCTTGGCAGCATGCTATTGATGTTCATTGTACCTAGTTCTTTGTTACTTCTGTGTCTATGTATGGAGAAGCTGCTATTTGAGTAAAAGACCATAGCCAAACTTTTACTGCTAACCTCCATAAGTATGTTGGCACTGCTATATCATAATCTCATTCTAATTTCCTACTCTATGTGCGTGAAAGACAGTAGCCAAATTATTGCAGCTTTTCTCCAAAAACATTGGTGCACTGCTAACATTATACCCACATTCTAGATTGATATTTCTTTCCTTAAGACTTTGTAATGTAATATTCCTAGGCTCAACCAGTCTTCTCAGCTTTAAAGTTTTCCCATTGTTGATCACGTAGTATTTTGCATCCTTTGTATAATTTCATTTTACAGATATCTTTTGCACCGCGAAGCTTTTTTGGAGTAGAAGATTTTCTCGATGATGACAATAGCCGGCCCTACACATATCAAAAGGAGAAGAAGACTAAAAATCCGAATAAGCACATTTCATTCAAGCAACGAACTATTGCATACTTGGAACCATTTACACTCGATGTTCTCATCTCAAAACGCTTTGTTTCAGCTTCAATTACACATAGAGTAACAAGCAAGCAGGTTGCTGTTGCTGGTACAAATTCGAAAGACATCAAAGCTGTCCTCAAATCAAGATCTGATATACCCGCATGTTTAGCCATAGGCCGCATCTTGGCTGAGAGGGCGAGAGAAGCTGATGTCTATACAGCCTCTTACACTCCCAGAGACAGGGACAAGTTTGAAGGCAAAATTAGAGCAGTAGTTCAGTCACTCATAGATAATGGTATTGATGTTAAAGTATATCTGGATTAATATTGGACTTTTCTCTGTACTTTGTCGCATTCTCTCGAAAATTTTTCCTAGATTCTCTTGTCCGATAGCAACTAAACTCATTGTAGTTCAGATAGCAAAGTGGTTTGCTCCTGTGGTGCTGCCTCTTCATCTGTAAATTTGTTATGTAGATCAATGGGAACAGAACTCAAGAGTCTTGAAATTCTTTTTCAGGGTTACCTTTTGGGAACGCGCCTTCATCTGATGGGATGCTTCCTGTCTGCGTGGGGTATTTGTTAAACTATTTGTTACCACGAACTGTATCTTTTTGCGCGATCAGACGGATATTAATATCCGATGTCTTCTGTAGCCCTTATGGTTTGCCGTAATGTTTTATTATCTTCCAAATTTAGAAAACAACAAGAAGACTTCGGAATCATAAGCCCTAAAAATTTTCATACACAAACAAATAAGAGGAATCTAATTCAACAAAAATCTCTAGTTTGATACATAAAGCTGATTCATTACCTGCAACTGCAATTGCAAACTGTCTCACATAGTAACTATGATGAGTCTATACTTGATGCAAATCTTAAATTACAAAACTTTGTGAGCATTCCCGTAATACCTGTTTATGAATGAAGACTTGGCTATTTCAGGGGAACCAGGAAGCGACACAGGATAAAACTTGTAAAACCTGATACTATCAAATGCAGCTCTTGTTTCATCGCCCATCTCCTGCAACATTTTCTCCTTAGCTTCCCTTGCTTCACGCTGGGCTTTCTTGGCTTCTCTAACCTTCTCCTTCACAAAATCCTTAAATGCATCCTTCTCATCAGCAGCTAAAGCTTCTTGTTCTATCAACTCGTCCGCTACCTCGTCCAGGACATCCAGCTCCCAATCAAACGAACATATCAGTGGAGGCTCAGATTCTCTAGAAAACAATATTTGTACTTCACTTTCTTGCTGATCATCCTCATCTTTCTTAAAGGGGTTGTAAAAATGAGGCAAGCAATAGTCATACTCCTTCGCCCTGTCGATTCCCAACTGCTTCAATCCAACCTTTCTTTGCTTGCACCTCAGTATAAATACCCTACAGCTTTTGAGATCTTCCACCTTAGCATCCCTTCTTCCCAATGGAATATAGGGATACCAATCCATCTTCAGCCGCTTCATAGGCCAAATCTGTTCATTTGCTCGTTGAACTGATACTATTGCAATTTTATCAGAGGGAGCAAATCGTGAAACCACAGCAACAACCACGGGCACAAGGGAAGCATCAGCTATGCCCTGTGTTTCCGTGCAGCCAAAGAGATAAACGTTTTGGCCAAGCAATTCTCCACCTTCCTCGAAAGCATTCTCCAAGTTGGAGAAATCCCAGTTGGACCCATAAATCTCATCCATCGCTTCCCATTCAGTTCCAACGGAAAACACCTGACGCCATAAATCTTCCATATTCCTCGTCATTCTTTCAATATACAAGAAACACTGGATCACTGGTGAAGGAAGAGGAGAAGGAGGGTTAGAACTTAGAACTTGGAAGATATTACCCTGAGAAGTTCGACATAAAAGAAAGAAGTGAATCCTACGCTACCTAAGTCAACTGAAAAAGGAGTTGACACAATCGCGGGAGGAATTATAACATTTAAACGACACACAGGCGGCGGATCAATTTGTTTGGATTGCATTTTTATAAATTTTTTAATAAAAAAATTATTGTAACGATTTGATATATATATATATATATATATATGAGATAAAAAATGATTGAAAAATGTGTCCACAAAAAACGTAGTAATTTTTCTTTGAAAATTTGCAATCCAAACACTCCAGGTGTTTTTGGAGGAAGATGAGCATCAACCGTCCTTGAACAGTATAATGAGTGTGTTTGGACAGCCAATTATTTGGCCAAATATATTTGCTGACATCACCATTACAATTTCCAATACACCTTTTTATCTTCCAAATTATCTTTTTATCTCACATACATTACATCACAAAAAGTGCTACAGTAAAAATATTTCAAATAACTTACAATCCAAACACATTTTTTTAACGTTTTGTAATTTTATGTAAATTTTTTATACATGTGATGTAATATTTTGTTACTGTTTACGTGGATTCTCTATTGAAAAATTTTACAAGTAATTCACATATAATTATATCTTATTTTAAAAATACTACATCGTTCAGAACAGTTATTACTTTCGTTGGTAACCTAATCCGTTTTTGGAAACTAAAGAATGTGTAGTATGTATTAATACAAAAGGTGTTTGAAAGGCATTTAGGATTCACTGATTAATTCCTTAGAATATTGTCTAAAAAATATCCGACAACGCTTTCACACTCTTGTTTTCCTAAACTATTTCAGCAAGCAGGCAAGAGTTATTATTATTTTTTTTTTTAAAAAAAAAGAAGAGCTGGGCTCTATTTTTTTAAGAAAGCTTCACCTGCCAAGGCAGGATGCCAAATAATTTTTTTTTTAAAAAAAGTCTCTTGCTCTATTAGTCTAGTAGTAGAAGGGGTCTAAATCACTGTTGCTATAGGAGAATTTCTATACAACCCATTGAACTCATCAACTTTTGTCATTATATTATAGAGGGAAGAGATAAAATAATACGAGAAAAAAAAAAAAGAAAATCTGGGCCATGGATTCCTCATCCTCATTGTTTCCTTCAACACCGGAGTTTGGTAAGAAGTATTCAAGCCAGAATGTTCTGCCAAACCAAGTATTAAATATATATATATATATATATATATATTTGCAATTATCAAATAATTGTTATAAAAGCAAACTGGTCAGAGATCCTATAGTGTATACAAATGTTGTTTATACTGTAGAGAAAAGTTTAGTATCAAGAAGCAGATCCATTACTGACAAACTACTTGAGGAAAAAAAAAAAAAAAGAGATGAAAATGTGCTCCATTTCATGTAGACCCATTTTTCTACTTAAAATAGTTAAAACCAAACTAATTCCTAATTCCATTTTCAATCTGATTCTCAGGTTTTTTTTTAATCTTTTAATGTCAAAGTTTACACTTTTTCCCCCAATTTCTCTTTCTCGATTCCAATTATTTTCCACAGCCATTAATCAAATTTCCCAGATAAAAATAACTCAAGAAAGGAAGAAATTAAAATCATAGCCAATTAGAATATCCTGAATACTAACTTCCATAAAAAAAAAAATACTAATAACTATAACGTGAATCAAGAAAAAAGCTCATAACTATACTAGAAAAACCTACAAAAACAATGTACATAAAACTAAGAGACACTTGAACGAAGTGAAATTTCAAAAAAAAAAAAAAAAATCAAAGTTTACACCATTCTACCCCAATGGCTCCTTAATTCTTCCTTGATATCAAACCATTTTTGACAAATTACTTTTGAAAAAAAATTAGAACCTAGATAAAAGGTACACCGTATCATGTGAACCCTTTTGTCCACTTAAAGCAATTAATCCAAAACCAGATCCTAATTTCCATTTTTACTCCAATTCTCAGCTTTTTTTTAATCTTTTTTTATGTCAAAGTTTAAACTTTTTTTTTCCTCGTAACTGTTTCTAGGCTCCAATTAATTTTCTAGGACAATCACAACAGAGCTACAAATAAAATTTCCAATATAAACTCAAGAAAGTATTAAAAAAATCATATCCAATAGGCATACTCTGAATACCAACTTGAAGACAAAAAGCGCCAAAAAATAAATGACTTAATAAATAAATACTTACTTTAAAGTCTATGGGAAGAGGTGACACTCAATCATTGAAGCTCAATCAAATGTCCACTTGAATAAGTTCTAAATCTAATTTCTTGAAGAACATGCTCATTCTTTTTAGCTATAAAATGATAAAAATCTACAAAAGCCAATCTGAATTGTATCGCAAGCTAAAACCCAAAAAAAAAAAAAAAAAAAAAAAACTTTTATTGCAGTATGAGGTAAATGTCATACTAGTATTCAATGCTCTTCACAGTTGTTTTCCTTCTTACATTCGGCAAAATTTGTCATGTAAAGTTTCATTTCGAGTAGTTTAATCCTACCCCTTTCATTAAGAAAAGGGTTAATCACATTTTATCTCCTTAAAAAATACCTCATTTCTCAGTTTACCCCCTAACCTTTAATTTTGCTCATTTAACCCCCTTCAGGACAAAATTGCTCTTGCATTATTTTGACTTTTCATTTACCTTATTTTCCTTTCTTTTATTTCTTTTTCTCTTTTTTCTTTATTTAATTCTTCCTCTTTCCCACAAAAATCTTCACTTTAATGATTGAAATTAAAAAAGAGGAATTATAGAGACTTATCTTCTACTTAAATGATTAAAAAAAAATATTCAAATCACTTTCCTAAAATACAATTTTTTTAGCCTTTCAATTCTTTTAATTTTGGATTTTCCTCTTTCCTTTCTAGTTTCTCATTTTATTCTCAAGAAAATATCATAAGATGAAATTTTTTTCCTTTCTTTTATTTCTTTTTCTCTTTCTTCTCTCTTTCATCCTTCCCAATAGAAATTCCATTTCAATGAAAATTTTTGTTTTGAATTTGTAATTGCATATTTCTAGGTGAAGATTTAAAAGACATCAAAAATTAATTTTGATTTTTTGTATGATGCCACGTGTCACAAATTTCAATTGATGATTATTAATCAGGTCACAATTTCATCTTAAGATATTTTCTTGGGAATAAAATGAGAAACAAAAAAGGAAAGAGGAAAATCCAAAATTAAAAGAATTGAAAGGCTAAAAAAATTGTATTTTAGGAAAGTGATAGATCCCTGCAATTCCTCTTTGATAAAAGAATTTGAATATTTTTTTAATCATTTAAGGAGAAGATAGATCTCTGCAATTCCTCTTTTTTAATTTCAATCATTAAGGTGAAAATTTTTGCGGGAAAGAGGAAGAATTAAATAAAGAAGAAAGAGAAAAGGAAATAAAAGAAAGGAAAACAAGGTAAATGAAAAGTCAAAATAATGCAAGGGCAATTTTGTTCTAAAGGGGGTTAAGTGAGCAAAATTAAAGATTAGGGGGTAAACTGAGAAATTGGATATTCTTTAAGGGGATAAAATGTGATTAACCCTTAAGAAAAATTTGTGTTTTGGCGATATTTTAAGCATAAAGTTTCCATATTTCCACTTGGTGAAAAGAAAATAATAGGGTTCGTTTGAAATTTGAAAGTCTATCCATTAAGTTATTAAACAATTAAGTACTATATTTGAACACATTAACTTTAAGTGCTGAATTAAATTATTAAACAAGACCTTAGTCTTTTTTTTTTTTAATTGCTGAACATTTAAGGTTAGGCTTAGTCATCTCTCTTTTCTTTCTTTCAATTTTTTTCCCTTTTGGGGTTTTTGTTGAATTCAAAGCCTAAATTGTGGACTTTTTCAAGTAACAATTGTTGAATTTGTGGCATCAATTTATATTCCACATCGGTAGAGTTGAGAGCTTGGGTAAGGGCTTGATAGTTATAAATAACTCTCAAGCAAATCAATTCAATTACATCAAGTACCAAAAACAAAAGAATTACAAAAACAAAAGAATTACCCAAAAAGGATTTTGTAATTCTTTTGTAATGTTTTCTTCTCCTAAATTATAAGAGCAGGCTGCTTGAGTGATACTCGGAGAGTAGGCAAAATTGGCCGAACTCCGTTATCAATTTCCGGGTGCGTTCTTTTCTTATCTTTTTTTATTTGTTCCACATTTATTTATTAGTTTCTTTTCTATTGTAGTATAGTATTCAATATATTTGTCTATATTTGTCGGGTTTATTTGTAGTGTTTTATACGATTCATTTGGATGTATTTTCTTATTCGTGTGTACGTAATATTTATGTATACACGGATCTAGTTGTAATAATATATCGTGCACGTAAATTCTGTCTAGGAGACTGGGTTTTAAGTGGGACCGCTTGTGACCTCTCTAGCCTTTCATGGAAATTTACTTAGAATGGTAATTCTGTCTAAAGAGATTGTTTCGACGATTTTTTCTAGAAATTATTGAATCGGTTCAATCACTAGTTGTATATTTTGAATGAAAAATTACCCGATTTCCCCAACAAGTGGTATCAGAGCTGAAGGTTCATCCTTTGGCTTGTTTGTAGTTTGTTATATTGAATACTATCATTTGAGTCTGTAATGGCATCTGACAATTCCACGTCAAGAATTATATCTGGGGCATCGGCTTCCTTGTCCACATGGTCGAGGATTCCAATGTCAAGTTTGAAGGTGGCGGTGGAGACATTTGACGATACTGGCCATTTCGGCATGTGGCAAAGTGAGGTCATGGATTCCCTTTTCCAACAGGGTCTTGACATTGTCATTGAAGAAAAGAAATCAGATGACATAAAAGAGAAGGAGTGGAGTACCATAAATCGGTTGGCATGCGGAACTATTCGATCGTGTTTGTCCAGAAAGCAAAAGTATGCTTTCAAGAACGAGACTTTTGCATGGAAATTGTGGAGGGCATTGGAGGAGAAATTTCTGACGAAGAGTGGTCAGAATAAACTCCTAATGAAGAAAAAATTGTTCCGATTCGATTACCAACCAGGTACTATTATGAATGAACACATTACTATGTTTAATCAGT